ACCGTCATGCAGAAGATCAAGTCGCTGATGACCCGCCAGGTGAGCAGCTCGGGGCGGGAGGGCAGCGCCGTGCGGGGGACCAGGAGCCCGGCACCCTGGTGGGGAGAGGGAAGCCCCGAGGTGCCTTTGCGCTTGGAACGCCCGCGTCTGCCTTTTATTTCCTCTCTAAACCTAGAAGTGGATGCGTACACAGGTGCCAGCACGTAGCCTGTGCCGTAGCACATGGGCCTTAAAGCTGACACGGCTGGTCCGGGTCAGTTTCCTCCTCTCACGCGTTTTGGAGCGCTGGGCCCTGGCGCTGCAACAGCGGCTTGTCTGGCAGCGACCGCTTCTGAGCGAAGGGGAGGCAGAGGTGCCGGGGGGGCCTGAAGGGGCACATGCTGAACGTGTGCTGCGGCACTGAATGTGTTTCCGTTAGCCCCCCTCTTTGTACCAGTTGTCACTGAGATTGTGCAGATCTAGTACTGCTCAGGTTGCCAGACTTTTTAAGGGAGTGGCTTAGAAGAGCATTTAAGCCATTCTCATCTGTGAAATCTCTCTAAATTGAAGCCGTTTTGCCTGTGTATCTAAATTTGAGAACTTAAAAAGTCACTTGATATTCTAGGTAGTTGGAGAAAATGGTGGGAAAGTCAGAAACCTAACTTTGGTGGTTTTTTATTTTTTTTTCCCTAGTCTATATCCTCAGAGTTGTGATGCTCAAGGTGGGAGATAGGGCTTAAAATGGACACTGGCACAGAAGCCGAGTTAACAAAACACTGCTCTGCTGCCTTTCAGTGTAGGGCTAAACAGTCAGTTTTCAGCTTGAGTAAAAGGAGTCATGGAAAGCCTGCCTAGTAGGAGAATACTGTGGGTCTGAAAATGATGCATCTTACAAAATTTTCAGCCTTTGTGAAGGAATTAATTCCATTTAGTATTTGATAAGTGAAACTTTTTACCGCTTCTGAAGAGAAGCTGCTAGTACTACAGATTTTTGAGAGGAGGTGAAGATTTAATGTGCAGTATGAAAAGCTGCAACAGTTGCGTTAGTTGTTTGTCACCTTGAATTTTTGATGCATAGAGGTGACTCACCTTTGGTGGTGGTAACTGGAAAAGGAAGGATGTTTTGAAATGATGCTCAAGGAAAACTGAGAACCAAAACTGAAATGAAGATGTTTTGCATCCTAGTTTGATGAAATAATTGTAAAATGTAGTAGTTACCACTGAAGTGATGAATTTGGAAAACAGCTGATCAGTTTCAAACTTTTCTCATCATAAGCTCACATAGTAATTGTGTAGGTTCTTTTAGATCAAAGAGAGTGTAGATTCCCAAGGCCTGGAGTGAGCTTGGAAACAGTACAGTTGGTGTCAGCCACAAGACTAGCAGGGAAGTCTGCCTGAAACTCATGGCTCACATGAGCACCCTGAAGTCTCAAGAGAAGCTGGAGTCAGAACTATATCTGAAACAGGAATCTTTAGACTCGCCCCTGCCTAGGTAGCTGGCAGAAAATGTGCTAAGCAGCATATTCTGTGGCTTTGCTTCGTAACATTGTGAACGTGTTGGATATTCAGCAAACACATACTCAGCTGGTTATTTGATGCTTCCTGTACAAAGCTTCAGTGTTCTAGAGCATATTCTATTTATGTGGCTCTATGTGTTTTAAAAAGTAGTAACTATACAAAGCGGCTAATGCAGATCATGTGTCTTTTTGAGTTTAGTTGTGCATAAGGAAAACCAGTCCTAATAGTGTTACATGGTAAAGAGACAAATCTACCATCAAGCAAAAATAATATAATATTGCTACAGAGTAGGTGGCATGTAAATTGAATTTGGTTCTTTGATTCCGTAAAATCATTAAGTTAGGGGAATTAAGTATGTTATGTTTTTTGGACACATGCATTTTAAAATTTAAAATAACATCTGGAAGTTGAGAGGAAGATGTCAGTGTATTTTACAAAGGGAATGTTAGTGGACTGTACTGAAAAGGTACATATTGCAGCATAAAGTTGAAAATGCACAGATATTTGAGGAGCATAATTTATACAGCAATGGTCTTGCTTAAATGTTTATAGGCTAAAGTCTTAGCCTTCCAGCCTCATGTCAGTGTAATTTATTAAATAACTTGTAAATAAATATTCAATGGCAGGTAAGACTTATGCAGGTTGATTGTAAGATACACGAAATAATCAATTAACTGACTATTACAATTGTTTTAAAGGGTCTAAGAAGTCCCCAGGAGAGCGTAGCTGACCTCAGTCCTATTGACAGCTTTCGGATTCCTACTAAGGTATGATACACAGTCCCTCCTACACTTCCATGCCCTTCATTTTTTACTTTTTAATTTTATAGTTAGATGACACTTAGTTCTTTTTTGGTTTTGTGGGGTTTTTTTTAAGCACCAGGTTTGTTGTTGCTTTTTTTGAGTCTTAACTACTTAAATGATGCCAGCTCACTCTCATCTCAGAAATCATACTGAATAACCTGGCTATGAGGGAACAGTTGTCATAATATTTGTCTGCTCCTTATACCCTGATGATTTAAGAGGATGATTCACAAGAGTTGCTGTGGATGATGTTTATTATTTTCTCTAAATTTGGACTTTGCCTTTCACCAATGAGGTATTTACATTACTGATTTGAATTTGGATGTTTTATTTTACAACAGATTAAAAAAAACTAAACAAAAAACCCCTTGTCTTTCTTTGTCTCTGTATAAGTACTGTGTAATATATTGCTGGTGCTGAGGTAGATAAAAAAAAAAATCAGTGTTACTGTATATTTAAAAAATCAAGTAACAGTCTCTGAAATGGTATCTAATACTCTGTTAAGCAGTGGCCAATTTATTGATTTCAGAGAGTAAAAGTATTTGGTTACAGTGATGTTGATAAAACTGTCTTATGTCTGTGGCTTAGATTTCAAAATTGCAGATTCCTGCCACTTACTGAGCATCCAGTTTCAAACTGTCTTTTTCGTCAAGTTGTCTATCCAGGAGAAAGTAGCTGTGGGGTATCTGGACTGAATTTCCATTCTTTGGTAGTTAATTGTCATGCGTCTTTTAAGCCTATACTTTGTATTAATAACAGTGGGAAAACAAATACCTGTAACTAATACGTAATTTTTTCATACATCTATGTCAAAGCTTTGTAATGTGAAAACATTATCTGCAGCTGTTCTGCAGTCAGTATCTCATTGTAATTTTGAATTCTGTGCCCAAGAAGACAAAATTTAATCAATATTAGAAGCTGCCACCTGACTGTTTTTTTTTTAAAGCTGATAAAACTAGGATATTATTCTCCTCTGTCCCACAGAGTAAGGCTTTTATATCTTTCAGTCTTCTAATACTTTTTTCCATTCCAAAATGTTCTAGGGAAGTAGTTCTGAAAATTCAAAGTTGCTTACATGACCTTTTGCCTTCTCAGCAAGCTGTCCTGTATTTTATAAAAAGTTGCATGACTATGTCATTAAATGACAACACAAGATCATAAGAATCTTGAGTAAAATTACATTGTTTTGATCAGTTTAACTCCTGGCTATGGTCCCAGGCCATTTGTCATGGTAACTTCCAGCTCTTTTATTTTGGAGGAAGGATTTATATTGTCGTGCCTCCTTAACTTTGCTAAAACCTTTATTGTAGGATTTTTACTTTTCAAATGGTGAGACATCGGATCAAGCACTGTAATATGTCTCCTGTCACTGAGAGCATAGATTTGGATACCCTTTATTGAAAATGGGAGGTTTTTGGGGTTGGGGAGAGGGAGATACTATCTGTGTTTGTGCTACAAGTAACTGTCAAGGAGATGAGGTTTCAGTATTGCACAGAAGTTGAAAATCATTGAGCTTTTGGTTATTGTATTTGTTTGGAACTGAAGCTACATTCAATGCCATGGCAACATACTGATGTGACAAATCCGAATTACATTATAATTACAGGCTCAAGCAGCTTTGCTGGATATAAGCTAATGCCCCTCAATAATTATTTTGTAATATTGGACAAGTTTGGTAAAGGATAGTAACTTTTGAATGCAAAAGTAAAGACTAAATAAAAGGTGCAGATTTTTAAAGGCAACAAATAAAAGAGTAACTTCATACATACAGTTGCAGACTGCTATTTGAAAGCATGTGGTGGTCTGTGCTGCCATATTTTAATAACTGTTTTTGTTTATGTCTTGAAGAACAAAAGTCTCAGGCTCATCAGCCAGGTACTGTTTTGATGATAGGATGGTTATGATGCTGCCCTCTTGTTGTCACATTTCCACATTCAAAGGGATATTCCCAGATTGATTTAGGGCAAGTGTTACTGAAAGTTTTGAAATCTGAGTTAAAGCTATAGAGGGGTATAAGAGAGGAATTTAGTATCTTCTTTGATTGAGATACCTTATTTAATCTCTGTGCCTTGATCACCCGGGCATGGGAACTGTCATTCTCTTTGAAATATTCTGTTATTGTCATCTCCCAAGCTAATAACAGTTTTGTTCAGTAGATTATGTCACAAAAGAGATAGGTATTTTGTACACTTGAATTCAAGTGTGTGGGTTTAATTATGAGTTGACTTTTAATTTAGGTTATGTTTATCTTGCTGATAATCAGCCCACGTGCAATATACAGGTATTAGTTGACTTTGTGGCTTATGGTGGCAAACAACAATGGTAGTTTATTTTTAAATGCTTTTCCTATAGATACAGAAGCGTGGCTTGCTCAGTCTTTGTGTTTCTATTTTCCCAACAGTAGCTGAGCACTTTCCAGAAGCGCATAAAGCGATAGTGAGACTAATATCTGTTCCATGGATCAGGCTTTGTTCTCTCCATAAGGATAATTGTTTTCACAGTGTAATGTTTGTTATGGGTATTCATATGAAAAGTAAGAGAATACCACAAACTTCCCTGTGGGATTGCCTTCCCTAGCTGTGGATTAGCTGGGAGGGAAAAAAATGTTGAGGTGAGTTTATAGATAGTTATATGTATGTTATGAGATGTATTTAATATATACATGTATCTTCTTATAGAGAAAAAAAAGATTGCGTATATATACATGTTAAAAAACTTTTATACATTAGTTTATTTCATGGTGGTAGGATGTTGCAGTGTATCTGCTGATTGAATCTGTGGAGCAGGGCTCTCATCCTGGTGTTCAGGATTAGCTTGTAATACAGATGTTATCCAAGTTCAGAATGGAGTGAGGATATTAGACAGCATGTTAATTGGTGTAGTCTTGGGTCATGACATGTATGGCTAATTCTGACCTTCAGCTCCTAATTAGGTTGAAAAGTTTTTAGATATTTTTTTTTTTAGTAGTATCAGTTAACTTTTTGCAATGTCTTAGCTTCCCAGTCTTTTGGATCATAGTGACTGGAATGCAGAAGGTGTTTGCTTCAACTTTATGCCAGTAATGCTTCATTCAACAGAGCAGTACTGGTGGTGTTGTTACAAGTGGTGTAGAGTACAAGCAGACTGGTCATGTGATGTGCTAGGAAATAGCTGGGCAAGTAATCTAAAACTTGCTGAACTGCATTTCAAATAAGACTGCAATTAAATGATTCCTCTGAAATATATTTCAAGGACTTTGCCACAGGCTCCTAGACCTGTAAATTTATATTTCTGTAAAACAGGATGGCAAAATCATGTGAGAAGTGTGTGGATGTAAACACTGTTTTATTCAGCAATGGCTTCTTCAAGTACACAAAGCTGTCAAACAGACAGGGTTGTTTGGCTTTTTTCCTTTTTTTTATTTTTTCTCACCAGAAACTATCATTCACTGATCTGTTTAGGGAGACCTGCTGCTTTTGGTCGCACTAATCATAACCTGAAAGGGCCTATGTTTGACAGGATAAATTGTCTTTCCATGAAAGCATGATCCAAAGTACTGGCAAAAAAAATGTGCACACTTGGCACCACAAGTGATGCAAGTTTTATGTGGGAGGTGAAGTCTCTCACTGAAGAAAAGTTGGAAAAATAAATAACTCATGAAACAGCATCTTTGATGACTGTGTTGTCCCATTATTGCTTGGAGAGTTCCTGCTGCTGAAGGTGTGTATTAATGTGGGCAGATGAGTGAAAATTAGTATTATGAGGTCCAACATGCTGCTCTTCCCAGTCTCCTACTGATCTCATTGATGGTTGAGCAGTGGCAAAGTGCTCTGCACCATTATCATATGATTCCCTCCATCCCAATTTTTATAGGCTTATACTCAGAAATACACTGAGAATTGCTGCATTTGCATAAAATTTACTGTGTTTTAAGTGTGTTTTTAAGTGTGGTTTTTTACTGTGTTTCTTTTTACTGTGTTTTAAAGTTTTTTTTAAGGGCAGATACTTTAAGCAGCAACAGTTAGAAAAGTTTTGAGGTGGCAAAGTGCCTGAGGGATTTAATAGCACTTCTCCTGCTCTGCAAAGTAGGAGAGTATGAGCTCCACAGGGCTAAATCTGACTTTCCCGGAGCCCCCTGAATCTATGGACTTCATAGGTATATAGGGAAATGTTTTTGTATCTCCCGTTGAAGGGATAGAGTATCAGCATATAAATATTAGCCAAGGATGTTTGCTTCTTTCAGTGGTGAGTGAATAGACTGGCCTTGGGCATGTTAGTTATTTCAAACTAGTGGAGCATGATGGACTGGAAACTGAAGATTATCACAGCATAAAGTCTGGTGCACGTGGTGTAATTTGTATGGGAGCTTAAGTTTATCCCGAAGAATTATTCTTACTAGACTGCTTTTCTAGAAAGAGTGAACAAGATAAAGAAAAACCGTATCCATTTAATAAAGATTTTCCTAGGTACTGTTTTGGCAAGAAACACTGAGCTAAATGATCTTTCTGAGACAGGATAAAATGGCTTTGTAGTAGTTTTCCTAGCCACATCAATGACAGCTTTATTTTTGTGTTGAAAAATCATGTTCTTCTACAAAGACAAAAAGGTAATTGATTAGATTTCATTGAAATGCTAGTATTATAAACATCCCTCCCAGTTTACTATCACGTGGCTCTGAATTCAGAATATGCATCCACCTTGGCTTTCTTACTACATCTCTGTGGGATGTCAGTCACCATTGATGTATGGCATAGATACACAATTCCAGCAATATGACCAGATATCAGTAGTCTAGAAATTGAAATGATCCTAAAGATTTCTTACTGGATTTAGTTTTTTCTCCTTTTTTCTTTTAATAGACAACCATGCAGGAACTTTTAGCCAAACATCAGATGATAAGTCAGATGATTCCATTTGCAGTGGTTCGTTCAGTGGACAAATTAATCTGACCATGTTCCATGTCTTGGATAATTTTTAAATTTGTTTCATATAGCTCAAACTCAATGTACTCTGCGATGGTAAGCTAATTTAAAGAGGGTTTTACAGCATGATGCTGCCATTTGTTAGGGAGTCCAGAGGAAAATAATTTATTTTTTATTTCTTTTAAAGGACAGGAATACATACAGTTAGAGAACAGATGCATTACTTTACAAATTAAATTACTTCAATAGCATGCCATGGAATCTGAATGCCCTCTGCCAATCCATGCAGCCTCATGTGCTGAAAACTTCAAAATCATAGATTAAAAAGTTGAAAAAGACTCTAAAGGGGCTGTTTTTCAGGAATCTTTCCATTCTCATCCCTCATAACCTGCTGTCTTCTCCTATTTTCCTCATGCTTTTAGTAAAGCTGAAATGTGAGGTGGACACGTGTGAATTGTGTGGCTGGAGCTGAAGGATGTGCCTGGGGGGACTCCTGTCTGTCTCTCTGGTGCCAGTGCGGTGCCGGAAGCTCTTCCCTGCTGGCTGCTTGCAAACCTGTGCCGGTGTCACCTGCGGTCCGTGTCACCGCTGCCCCAGCCTTTGCCTTTAACCGAGGTGCTGTTGTGGCTTGTGGCGTTGTGGACTTCAGAGCGGGACTGTGCTCAGAAACCTGGTTTAAAGGAGGTTTTATAAAGAGTAACATCATTTCGCTTTGTTGTTATTTATTGTTGTTACTGATGTGTATTATTTCCTTGTTCGGTGCCGCCCCTCGCAGAGCTTCCCGCCAGTGGGGC